CGTGGGCATCTTCGATCCGCCGCCCCCTGTTGATTTACTCAAAGGGTGCCTGGCGTGCTGGATGCGTGAATGTTCGCCAGCTTTCAGCCCAGCCCGCTGACAACCTGGAAACATGATCGGCCCACGAACCCAGAAAGGAATCTAGAAATGTGAGTCATGGCAGCGTTTCCAACACAGCCGATCGGGCGACGGGCAATTGCAATGCTGAAGGTATCGTTCTTGGTGTATCGTGCCAAGTGCTGTGCTGTGCTGCGCCGTGCTGAATTGCGATGTGCCATGCCGCGATTGTGCTCGATAGCGTTGTAGATCGAGTCCTCCTTTGCATCCGAGGCCTGACCCAACTGATCTGGATCTTAAGCTCGACCTGCTTGAGCACTTAGTAACTGCCCCAGAGCTAACCGACAGGCGGGCATACCAGGAGGGACGCGCCGCAGAACGTCCCAAAGGACGCGCCAGGAGACGTGCCAAGGGAGATGCAATGGGGACGCACCGCAGGCCGTGCCAAGAGGACGCGCTACGCAACGTGCCAATGGACGTGCCACGGGGCGCGCCAGGGGACGCGCCGCGCGACGTGCCAAGGGGACTCGCCATGGGACGCGCCACGGAACGTGCCAGGTTGCAATGCTGAATGTTTCGATCTTGATGTACCATGCCAAACGCTGGGCTGTGCTGCGCCGTGCTGAATTGCGATGTGCCATGCCGCGATTGTGGTCTACAATGTTGTAGATCGAGTTCTCCTTTGCATCCGAGTCCTGACCCAACGGATCGGGATTTTGAGCTCGACCTGCTTGAGCACGTAGTAGCTGCTTGAGAGCTAATGGACAAGGGAACATGCCAGGAGGACGCGCCGCGGAACGTCCCAAGGGACGCGCCAGGCGACGTGCCAGGGGACGTGCCATGGGAACGCTAAATTACTCTGCGTCCGCGCTCCCAGGGCCACGATCCTTCATAAATTACGCTGGGTCCGCTCTCCCTGGGCCACGATCCCTCGTAAACTACGCTGCGTCCGCGCTCCCAAGGCCGCGCTCTCTTGTAAACTATGCTCTGTCCGCGCTCCCAAGGCCACGTCCCCGTGTAAATTACACGGTGTCCGCCCCCCCAGGGCCACGATCTCTCGTACATTACGCTGCGTCCGCGCTCTCAATGCCACGATCTATTGTAAATTACGCTGCGTCCGCGCTCCCAGGGCCACGATCCACCGTGAATCATGCTGCGTCCGCGCTTCCAGGGCCAAGATCCGTCGTAAATTACGCTGCCTCCGCTCTCCCTGGACCACGGTCCCTGGTAAACTACGCTGCGTCCACGCTTCCAGGGCCGCGCTCCCTCGTGAATCATGCTGCGTCCGTGCTCCCAGGGCCACGTTCCTCAGTAAATTACGCTGTGTTCGGGCTCCCAGAACCACATGGGCATCCTGGGGCGCCCAGGCCGCTCGAGTTCTGCAAAACAAGCGGTTCGCTCGAGACATCCTCGAAGCGTCTCGCTCGTGACATCCTCAAGACCTGGGCACGCGAAACCAAGTATTTCACCTGAGACATCCTTTGAATTCTGGTCCCCAGTAGAGGAACGATCTGTAGCACAAAACAATCGTTTCGCTCGAGACAACCTCAACACATTATGCAAAACAAGCGTTTCGCCAAGGACATCCTCAAACTTCAATTCCGCTGGCCCTACGCGACCTTGTTATTGATCGCAGAATGATTCCGCCGGCCCTACGCCCGTCGATTCCGGGGTAACAAGCTAAAGGAGAACCCTGGGCCCACGCCCTTTCCGGGAAAAAGTGCAAGCCGTGGGTTGTGCCGCCCAAGATGTCCCCGAGATGGCTTCTAAGACGGTCAAGTGCTCAAGATGACCGCACCAAGCAAACTCAAAATGACTCCAAGACGGCCCAAGAGGTCCACGTAATGCCTCCAAGGCGGTCCAAAAGCCTCCCAACGGACCGTCAAAAGGCGAAAATCACTGATTGACCATACGTTGTTCAGTGATGCTAGCTAGCATTCTTGCCTTTTCGGGCGTCCGACGCTCCAAGCCGGCCCCGTAAACCCGAAAGATCGTGCCAAGACAGCCCAAGAGGCCCCCAAGAGGCCCGTAAGACGACCCAAGAGGGCTCGAAGGCGGTACAAGAGGCCCCTAAGACGGCCCCTGGCGTCAGAGACGGCCCTGAAGCGCCCAAAGAGGGACCCACGACTGCCAAGAGAGGGCCCCCAAACAGCCTCCAGAGGCCAGAAGGCCCCTTAGAGATCCCCAGAAGCCTTCTAGAGGGCCTCAGGAAGCTGCAGGAGCCCCCCCCCAAGAGGCCCCTCAGAGGCCCAGAAGCTCCCAGGAACCTCCCAGGAGCGCCCTAAGAGGGCCTCAGGAGGCCACTTCCTCCTCCTCCTCCTCCTCCTCCTCCTCCTCCTCCTCCTCCTCATCCTCCTTGTTCCTCCTCCTCCTCCTCGTCCTCATTCTCCTCCTTCTCCTCCCTTCTCTTCCTCTCCCAAGTGTTCCCCGACGGGGCACAACGGCTTGGGAACACATAGTCGAATAGCTTGGGTAGACTTCGACCAAACGTTTGGCCGCATGAGCGCGTCTAAAGGCAAGGTGCGGCGGTGATTCGCTGCAGGCGTCTTCGATAATCCTCCCTCGGGGTGATCTGCGAATCACCGCCTAACATTACTCTGCTCTCCTTGGAGCACCTGGGCAAACCAGGATATCGCTGCGACTCCGCTCTCGATGGAATCAGGGGATATGCACGGGCCATGGAAACACATAACGAAGAACATGATCGACCCACGAACCCGGAAAGGAATATAGAAATGTAAGACATGGCAACGTTTCAAAGACACCTGATTGGGCGACGGGCAAATGCAATGCTAGATATAAAAAAGAGAAGTTATCGACCTTGTATGCTCGTGCCTAGGGCGTGCTGTGCTTGTGCCGTGCTGAATTGCGTGTGCATGCCACTACCGATGTGCTCTATTAGCGCTTTGGGTGGATCGAAGTCCTCCTTTGCTCCGAGTCCTGACCGAACTATCTGGATTCTTAAGCCCTCGAGCTGCCTAAGCACATAACTAGTAGCGGCCCCAGAGTTGAATTGACAAGGTGGGGACATGCAGGAAGGACGCGCCGCAGAAACGTCGCAAGGGACGCGCCAGGCGACGTGCCAGGGGCCGTGCCATGGGGACGCACCGCGGGACGTGCCAAGGGGACGCCGCGCTAGTGCCAATGGATGTGCAATGGGACGTGCCACGGGACTGCCAGGAGACACCAAGCGCGGTGCCAGGGTACGTCTTACGGGGACGCACCGCCGGGACTGTGCCAAGGGGACGCGCTACGGAACGTGCCAATGGACGTGGCACGGGACGTGCCAGGGGACGCGCCGCGCGACGTGCCAGGGGGACTCGCCACAGGACGCGCCACGGAACGTGCCAAAGAACGTGCCAAGTTGCAATGCTGAATGAATGTATTGATCTTGATGTACCGTGCCGCGGGCTGTGCTGTGCTGCGCCGTGCTGAACTGCGATGTGCCACGTGACGAGTGTGCTCTATAGCGTTGTGGATCGAGTCCTCCTTTGCATCCGAGTCCTGTTCGAACTGATCTGGATCTTAAGCTCGAGCTGCCTGAGCACATAGTAGCTGCCCCAGAGCTAATTCACGGGGGGCATGCTAGGAAGACGCGCCGCCGAAAGTTCCAAGGGACGCGCCAGGCGACGTGCCACACAACCATGTACAAGATCACAACACAAAATATACAAAGAATCACACACAACAAGAAAAAAAAAAAAAAAAAGGAAACGCCGATAAAAAAGAAAAAAGAATGCCAATATGCACAATTCACATAAAGGCAAAAAACAAAAAACAGTGACCTTGCCATGGGGACGCACCGCGGGACGTGCCAACGGGACGCGCTACGGAACGTGCCAATGCATTATGGACGTGCCACGGGACGTGCCAGGGGACGCGCCGCGCGACGTGCCAGGGGGACTCGCCACAGGACGCGCCACGGAACGTGCCAAAGAACGTGCCAAGTTGCAATGCTGAGTGAGTGTACCGATCTTGATTTAATGTGCCGAGGGCTGACGTGCCAGGGGACGTGCCGCGGGGACGCACCGCGAGACGTGCCAAGGGGACGCGCTCCAGAACGTGCTGGGGACAAGCGTCGTGTCGGTGGCCTGGACACGTAAAAACACGGTGCCAGCTCGGGACAACCATGAGAGATACCCCCTGGGTGGCCTGGACACGTAAAACACGTGGTTCCAGCTCGGGACACTGGGTGGCCTGAGCATGAAAAAACACGTGGTTCCAGCTCGGGACAGCCATGTTAGATACCCCTCTGCGTGACTTGGATACGCTGAATTCGCGCTCCCGCTCGAGACATCCTCACAACGTCTTCCCTGGAGAGGCCCCCAAAGCGCCAGAGCAAGAAGCCATCACTTTTCCTCATAATTCGGCGTTTCGCTCGAGACATCCTCAACACATTCTGAAAAGCAAGCGTTTCGCTCGAGACATCCTCCAATTTTGCAAAACCAGCGTTTCGCTCGAGACATCCTCAACAAATTATGAAAAACAAGCGTTTCGCTCGAGACATCCTGTCAAAATCCCAATAAATCCAAATACCCGCGCGCGGGACGCGGCACGCGAGAGACATCCTTGGAATTCCTGCGCGAGGGGCGCTTTTCCGTGTCGCGGTCGGCTCTGCAAAACCGGCGTGTCGCTCGAGACATCCTGAACAAATTCTGAAACCAAGCGTTTCGCTCGAGACATCCCCAACTCTGCAAAACCAGCGTCTCGCTCGAGACATCCTCAACAAATTCTGAAAAACAAGCGTTTCGCTAGGGACATCCTCAATTTTTAATTCGCCGGCCCTACGCGACCTCGTTATTTATCGCAAAAGAAATTCGCCGGCCCTACAGCCGTCAAAACCGAGGGGAAACAAACTAAAAGAGAACCCTGGGCCTTTGCCCTTTCCGGGAAAATGGCATTGGAGGACGGATGAAGAATAGAAGGATAACGGTAATGAATAGGAACGGTGATCCCTTCGTTCAACGGGCCGAGGACGACATCCAGCCAGACCTCAAGATGTTGCGACAACATGAACCCTGCGATGGCGGCGATCCCAACCAGCGCGCCCGGGTAGCCCTTATACGCAATGAAGGCTCCGATAACTCCGAACTCAATGCCGATAGTGGCTCTCACAGCGCCGACAATTTCGGTGTGCCAGATCCTGCTGACCTCGATCGTGCCGAGGTTGTAGCTGATGAGCGCCGCGAATACCAGAATTCGCCGGCCCAACGGGCCAGAGGCGTGCTAAGATCTCCGGTAACTTGTTAACAATATTTCTAGTTCGCGCGCGCGGAGCGGCCCCTGGGGGCCCCCGGACGAAAAGTACCCCGGCAAGGTCCCGAGAGAAGCCCGGGAGAAGCCACCAGACCACTCCGGGGGAGGGTATTTTTCGACACCCCTCACGAGGATCGTGGCCTCCGAGGGGGGAGCCGCAATCGACTACCCCCAAGAGCCCCCCAAGAGGCCCTGGGGGCCTCCCAAACGCCGCCAAGGAGCCCCAAGAGACTCCCAAGAGGTCCCCAAGAGGCCCCCAAGAGGCCCTAAAGAGGGCTCCAGGGCCGGCGGCATGAGCGAAGCGATTAAATAACAAGTTGCAGGGCCCTCTCACTGTTAAACACCATGAGCAGGCCAAGCACGAACGCCAGCAGAGCGTTGAGCCCCCTGGAGCTTTCGCAGACCACCAGGAAGTCCCCAAGCGTGGTTGATACGATGGACGCGGTGGAACCGTCGGGTGGCTGAGGCGGCACGAACCTCGACGTGGTCGACCAGTTGCCGCTGGCAGCCTGTAGAAGAAATTACAAAAAACATTACCTTGCCTGGCGCGGCGCTTGACCCCGTCTCCTGGTGCGTTGAGCGCGCCAGAGGCGGCGCCCGAGGCGCCGACAAGGGCGTCCAGCGCAGACCCCGAGACAGGCTCAAAGACTTGGAAACGGCGATGCATCGCCGATTAACTGGTGATGGACCCCAGATCGCGAATCCGCAAGCTCCTGGGCGGGGCGGGGCTATCGGGCCCCTGTCGGCGATCAATGGGCGATTGGGGTTCGATAGATCCCCCCCTGACCCTCCCCTGACACTGCTCCCTGACCGGGTCATACCTCCGCTATCTAACGGCCGTTCGGGGCGACGCGGGAAACCCGGAAAGCAATCGGCGAGGCGAAGCAGGAAAAACTCCAGGGACCAACGCAAACGACCGAAAGCCTTACTCCATGCCCCTTGCAATCATGTTGATACATATTTGTCTGTCCCGAGCCTTGGCCGCCATGGGCGGCGGCACCGTCGTGGACGCGGCGACGGCCGTTTTTTCAGACAGTTCGGTGGCAACTCAAAAAGGTCTCCCATGCCATCTTGGTGGCTTTTGCAAGCCGAAACTGACTCATGTTATCTTGCCGGCTTTTGCAATTCGACGCGGGCCTACGCCAATCGACACTAACCCGCGCTAAACTGGCGCTAGCGCGGCACTTCCTCGTCGATTACCAAACGCTTTCGCACGCTAGTGTACCTTAAAGACTACAAGGCCTCCTAAATGAAATTCTGGACAATCGGGTCGGAGGATTGCGCCGCATCGCCGATGCACCGGCGACGCCGACGATGCATCGGCGACGCCGGCGTAGAGAAAATCGGGCTCCGCATCGAGCCGCATCGCCGATGCATCGCCGATGCGGGGCGACCCTCCGACCCCATGTGCGCGGACCCCATCAGGGAGGCTTGGATTTGGCGGCGTGCTGAAGGTGGTAATTGTGGTGGTGGAGCCGCTGGGGGCCATGAGTCGATGCCTTTGCACATAAGGAGCCCTTGGGATCCGCCAGCCCCCTTGTGGGGCCACCAGGCTGTAGGCCTAAGGTTCGCAGTTTCCTGTACCAGTTGCAACTTCCAGTTTCCACTGTTACAGTTCTGCTTCTTGCTGCCTACTGTTCCTTGTTACAGTTCTGCTTATTGCTGCATACTGCTCCTTGTTGATGGACCGCGCGAGGGGGGGAGGCCCAAAACGAGCATTTTTACCACGCCCTGAGCGTGTTGTCTGACTTGCTGGGGTGGGTTAAAATGAACACCCTCACGCAGATCGGCGGGGTCAGGGTCCAAAAACACAAAGGATTTGCCACATTTCTGAAATTCAGTGGCACCCCTCACGCAGATCGGCGGGGCCAGGGTCACACAACACAGGGGATGTGCTACATTTCTGAAATTTGCTGACAGCCCTCACGCAGATCGGCGGGGTTAGGGTTCGAAAACACATGGGGGGTTGTCACATTTCTGAAATTCAGTGGCACCCCTCATGCAGATCGGCGAGGTCAGGGTGAAAAAAACACAGGGGATGTGCTACATGTCTGAAATTTGTTTGCACCCCTCACGCAGATAGGCGGGGTCAGGGTCAAAAACCATTAGGGATTTGCCACATTTCTGACATTCGGTGGCACCCCTCACGCAGATCGGCTGGGTCAGGGTGCAATGGATTTGCCACATCCCGAAATGCGGTGACACCCCTCACGCAGATGAGCGTTTTCAGGGTGCACAAACATACGGGATTTGTCACATGTCTAACATCCGGTGACACCCCTCACGCAGATCGGCGGGGTCAGGGTCTAATAACACATGGGATTTCCTATGTTTCTGACATCCGGTGGCACCCTTCACGCAGATCGGCTGGGTCAGAGTCAACAAGCACAGGGGATTTGCCACATTTCGAGAATCCGGCGGCACCCCTCACGCATATCGGCAGGGTCAGGGTCCAAAACCACATGGGATTTTCCACATTTCTGAAATTCATTCGGAACGAGCGGAAGCACGGAAATGAGGCCAGCGCTGCAGCGGTAGCACGATTCGGAACGAGCGGGGCCCGAAAATGAGGCCGGCGCCTCAGCGAGAGCAGCATTTTGAAAAAATGCAGGCGAAAACCCAACTCCGGGGAATCCTGCGTGTAAAAACAGTACGCAGGGGGGGGGGGGAGGGCGAACACTCCCAACCCGTCATCAGGGGAAAGAGGAGAGTAGTCTTCATATTGAGCAATTGTGGAACAAGTCATGGCAACGACGACGACGACGAGGAGGAAATTAAGACGAGGACGGGGAGCATAGGGGAGCGGGAATGGGGGGGAAGGAGGAGGGGGGGACGAGGGGGGCGATGAAGGGAGCGGGAACAAGTAGGAAGAGGAGGAGAGAAGGAGGGATATGGAGGATTTGCAATTTATTGGAAAGAGGTGTGGGGGGGGAGGGGCAAGAGTATCCGCTCAGGCGCAATCTGCTCGCTGCAGCCTGCTGCCTGCGGCCGCTGCTTGCTTGCGCTGCTGCTGCGCTGCTGCTTGCTAAAGCAGTGTCTTGCTGCACTGAACAACTCTTAACCTCCCCTCTCAGCTCCACTCCGCTCTCGCTTCCCTCCTTCCTTGACAATCATCACTCCCCTCCTCTCCTCCTCCTCCTCCTTCCTCGTCGTTCCTATTCCTCCACCGCCTCCTCCCTCCTCTCCCTCCTTCTATCATCCCTCCTATTATCCTCCCTTCTCCTACTCCCCCTTCCTCCCTCTCTTCCTCCTCCTCTCATCATCATATCTCCTCCCCCTCCCCCACCGCTCCCCGTTCCTCCCCATCATCCGCGCTCTCTCTCTCTCTCTCTCTCTCTCTCTCTCTCTCTTTCTCTCTCTCTATCCTCTCTCTCTCTCTCTCTCTCTCTCTCTCTCTCTCTCTTTTTCTTCCTCTATACTTCTCTTTCCTCATCCTCCTCCTCTTCCTCCTCCTCCGCCCCCTCCTCCTCCTCATCGTCGCCACCAATGCCGCCATCATCATAATCCAGAAGCCGCATTAAAGTGATCATTTGTTTTTTTGCCCCCCCCCCCCCCCCCCCCCTCTGTACAGAGGGGGTCCAAATGTTATGTCCCCCCCTCTAGTTCACTAGGGGGTCTAAGATGCACTCCCCTCTGTCACTGGAGGACCCTGTATGGGTGTCTTCGTGCCACCGGGAACTTCCCGATTACGATTGGAGACGAAAAATTTGATAGCGGGATGAATCATGAGGGCATTGGAAGGGAGGGGTCAGATGAGAAGAAAAACAGATCAATGAAGGGAGAGGCAGGCATATGACAAGCAACGATGATCGCACTCTTCCGTCTTCTTTTTCACTTCTGAACTGTTTTTTGGTCGCCGAGCACGACGGCGCGCGCGAGCCGCCGCCGCTCACGATGCATTGGCAAGGCCTCCGCTGCTGCGGAGGGTCGACGTTCGGCCGATGAGGCCTCCCTCCGCTGCTGCGGAGGGGCGGCTCCTGTGCGACGGTTCAGCTAAGTTCTTCCCAGGGATTGGTCTCGGGAGGGTGTTCGACCCACCTCCAATTCGTGGCCCCCCAGTGCCCCTGGCCGCTACTCCACCCACTGTGGCTGCTCCACCAGTCACTGGGGCGTTGGTCGCTGCCGAATGCAACTTGCATGTCGCGCCAGGCGGAGTCGACCCTGCTGTCCTGCAGCGAGGAAGCCTCGCCGCTCGGCTGTTGCCACTCGCGCTCCTCGCCCTCCCTGGTGCGCCACCACTCATCCCTGCGCCACTCCCCGTCTGTTGGGCGCTGCCATGGCGTCTGTGGCCCCCGCTGCTGCGGGGGCTCTGGCGGCTGATGCCGCGGCGCCTCCCGCGGCTGCTGCTCTTGCAACCCTTGCCCTCGCTGCTCCAGCGGCGCAGGCCCTGGAGATGGCCACTGCGGGGTCGGCTGCCACCTTGGGGGTGATAAGTAACTATTTCTATAATTATCCCCTCCCTGTCAACTCCCGCCCCTTCCCGACACTCATTTCCTTATGTCATCCCTCGTCCTGCTCAGCCTATTCCTCATTCCCTCTCCTCCCTCCTGCCCTCCCCGTGCTCCGCCGCCCCTCTCCCCCCCTCCCCCTGTCAACCCCCCGCCGCGACCTTCCATCGCCAGCCGCGGGCATGTCGCGGCCGTCGTCCGCGCTTTCGTCTGCCCATCTTGGTGGGCGCCACGCCTGTTGGGCGCGCTCGTCTTGCTCGCCCCTCTCGCGGTGCTGCTCTGGTGCCTGGCGCTCGGGTCCGTGCTGCTCGGGCGCCGCTGCTGCGGCGCCCTGGAGCGCAGCTGCTTGCTG